ACAATTTAAACTATTTTCTTAATTGTAGAGCTAAAAGGAGTAAAGTTGGGTGAAATGGTAATTATTATTTTTTATTTGTTGTGTTGGGTGTGAGTACATTGTAGCATTTACAAAAGTTCTTACAAAATATCATACTTGAATCCCCTCCTTCACTGCTCTTCCCCACTACCTCCTCCCCTGATTTCTGGAACAGTTTTACCAGGTATCATTTTTGCATTTACATTCATGTGTATACATTGTTTGCATCATATTTATCCTATTACCCCTTTACCCGGCCACCTCCCACATCCCACCAGTGCCAACCATCCTCCTGAAGAATCTATTTTGCCCTCCTGTTCTCCGATTTTGTAGAAGAAAAAAGGTAAAAGACAAAATGAGAAACATGACGTTTTTGCTAGCAATATATGAGGGTTACTTTTCCCCACCATCCTTGCCAACATTTGTTGGTGGTGGTGTTCTTGATGATAACAGGAGTGACATAGAATCTTACTGTAGTTTTTATTTCCTTTATGGCCTGGGATGGTAAGCATTTTTTCATGTGTGTTTTAGCCATTTGGATTTTTTCCTTTGAAAAAGTTCTGTTCAGTTCAGTTACCCATTTCTTTATTGGGTCATTGATTTGGGGGGAGTTTAGTTTTCTGAGCTCACTGTATATTCTGGTTATCAGTCCCTCGTCTTATATTAACTATGAATGATTTCTCCCATTCTGTGGGTGGTCTCTTCATTTTAGAGACTATTTCTTTTGTTATGCAAAAGCTATTTAATTTCATGTACTCCCATTTGTTGATCCTTTCTCTTGGTTGCTGAGCTGCTTGTGTTCTATAGGAAGTCCTTGCCTATACCTATTACTTCCAATGTATTCACTGCTCTTTCCTCTACTAACTTCAAAGCTTCAGGTCTGATATTAAGGTACTTAATCCACTTTGAGTTGATACTTGTGCAGGGTGACAACATAGATCTAGTGTCAGTTTTCTGTAGCAGATTTCCAGTTTTCCCAGCAACATTTGTTGAAGGGGCTGTTTTTTCTCCATTGTATGTTTTTGGCACCTTTGTCAAAAAGTAGGTGAGCTTGGCTGCATGGACTCATATCCAGGTCCTCTATTCTGTTCCACTGGTCTTCATATCTGTTTTTGTGCCAGTACCGTGCTGTTTTGATTGCTATGGTATGTAGTATAGTTTGAGGTACTGTGACACCTCCAGCATTGCTCTTTTTGCTTACTATCGCCTTGGCTATTCATGGTCTTTTGTGTTTCCAAATGAATTTTAGGGTTGATTTTTTATTCTCTGTGATGAATACCATGGGGATTTTGATGGGAATTGCATTGAACATGTAGATTGTTTTTGGTAGTATAGTCATTTTTACTATGTTGATTCTGCCAATCCATGAGCATGGGAGATAATTCCATCTTCTGTAGTCTTCTATTTCTTTCTTCAATGATTTGCACTTTTCTTTGTAGAGGTCATTTTCATCTTTTGTTAAGGTTTTTCCTAGGTATTTGATTTTTTTTTTTTTTTTGCCACTCCACCAGCCCTTTTTTTTGTGTGTGTATTAGGTGTTTTTGAGATAGGGTCTCATGAACTATTTGCGAGGCTGGCTTTGAACTGCAATTCTCCTGATCTCTGCCCTCTGAGTAGCTAGGATTAGAGGCAAGAGCCACCAGCGCCCGTTTTAGGTATTTGATCTCTTTTTTTGAAGTGATTATAAATGGAATTGTTTTCCTATATTCTTTCTCCATTTGTTCATTGTTGGTTTATAGAAAGGCTACTGATATTTGTAAGTTGATTTTGTATCTTGCTACTTTGCTGAAGCTGTTTATGGTATCTAGGAGTTTTTTGGTGGAGTTTTGGGTCCTTAGGTATAAGATCATGTCATCTGTGAATAAGAATAGTTTGACTTCTTCTTTACCTATTTGTATTCCTTTTACTTCTTCCTTTCTTATTGCTCTGGCTAGGAATTCCAAGACTATGTTGAACAGGAGTAGGGAGAGTAGGCACTCTCATCTCTTTCCTGACTTTAGAGGAAATTGTTTCAGTTTTTCCTTATTAAGTATAATGTTGACTATACGTTTATCATTTATAGCCTTTATTATGTTGAGGCACATTCCTTCTATTCTTAGTTTCATAGGAGCTTTTATCATGAAATAGTGATAAATTTTATCAAAGGCTTTTTCTGCATCTATTGAAATGATCAAGTGGTTTTTGTCTTTGCTTCTAGTAATGTGTTGTATTAATGTGCTGTATTACATTTAATGATTTGCATATGGTGAACCATCACTGCATCTCTGGGATGAAGTCAACATGGTCATGGTGAATGATCTTTCTGATATGTTGTTGGATTTGATTTGCCATTAGTTTATTGAGATCAATATTCAATAAGGAGATTGACCTATAGTTCTCTTTTTTGGATGTGTGCTTCTCCTGTTTGGGGATGAGTATAATACTGGTTTCCTAGAATGAGTTAGGCAGTGTTCCTTCCCTTTCTACTTGGTGGAAAAGTTTAAGAAGCATTGGTATTAGTTCTTCTTTAAAGTTCTGGTAGAGTTCAGTGAAGAATCCATCAGGTCCTGGACATTTCTTTTTTTAGGGAGACTCTTTATTGCTGAGTCAATTTCATTGCATGTTGCTGATCAGTTTAGGTGATTACTATCTTCTTAGTTCAGTTTTTAATGATCTTATGTCTATATAAATTTGTCCATTTCTTCTAGATTTTCCAATTTATTTGAATATAGGGTCTCAAAGTAGTCCCTGATATTTTATTGATGTTTGTTGTTATCTCCCCTTTTTCCCTTCCAATTTTATTAATTTGGACCTTTTTTCCTCTCCATTTTAGTCAAATTTGCCAGGGGTTTATCAATCTTATTTATTTTTTCAAAGACCCAGCTCTTTGTATGTTGGTTTTTTTTTTTTGGTTTCTATTTCGTTGATTTTGGCCCTTATTTTTGTTGTTTCTCTCCTGCTTGTTTTAGGTTTAGGTTCTCTTGTTTTTATAGGAGTTTGAGGTGAAGTATTAGGTTGTTTGAAATCTTTCTGTGTTTTTAATATATATGCTCATGGCTTATATAACTTTCCTCTTAAGATTGCCTTTGCTGTATCCCATAGGTTCTGATAGGTTGTATTTTCATCTCCATTACAGTTTTCTTCTGTGATCAACTGATCCATTGAGCAATGTGTTGTTCATCCTCCAATTGTTTGAGTATTTTCTGCTGCTGCTTTTGTTGTTCAGTTCTAGTTTCATTGCATTGTGATCAGATAATATGAAGAGGTTATTTCAGTTTTCTTATATTTGTTGAGACTTGCTTTGTGCCCTAAGATATGATCTATTTTGAAGAAAGTTCCATCAACTGCTGTGAAGAATGTATATTGTGCTGTTGCAAAATGGGATACTCAGTAGAAATCTGTCAGTTCCATAAGATCTATGGTGTCATTTAGTTCTAAGATTTCTTTGTTGACTTTTTGTCTGGATGACCTATCTATTGTTGATAGAGGGGTATTAAAGTCTCCCATTACCACTGTGTTGTGGTCTGGATGTGGCTTGAGTCATTTTGTGTAATGTTAGTGAAGTTGGGTCACTAACATTGTGTGCATATATGTTGATAATTATTTTCTCTTGAAATGGTAACTAATGGCAAGTGTTTGTATAATACTTAATAAATTTATACTAAACATATATTAGCACATGGAAATAATGGCTTTGTGGTTGTTCTAAGGCCTATTTATCAATTTCTTTTTCTGTCAAAGAAAACCTGGGTTCTATTATATAAGGGATTTGCAAACTGTGGGCCATTAACCAAATCTGTCAGGGAGTGCATTACCTGCATTTACATTAAAATGTTGCTGGAACTCAGCAATATTCACCCTTCATTCATTTACCTGTCATCTTTGCTTGCTTTCGAACTACAATGTTAGAGATAATTAGTTGAAACAATGACTTTATGACCCAGTATGCCCAAGATATTTACAAAATGGCCTTTCCTAGAAAACGCTAACCTCCATGGTACACAAACTCTTATATACATGTGAAATGGCACATATGTTTACGATATTCAATGGGAGAGATGTCAATATGTTTTATAGTGCCTTCTGTTAGTACATTTTAAATTAGTAAATGTAATCTGGGACATACAGCCTGAGATATTGGTAAAATCAAGCACATTCAATATCATTTTTGTTACTATAAAGTTTATAATAATTGATAAACACAATTCTTTTATTAAAATTTTTTATTGCTGAGTGGCGGTACATTGTAGCATTTACAAAAGTTCTTGTGATGTATCAAATATCATACTTAAATTCACCACCTCCACTGCTCTCCTTCATCCCCACTCCCCTGATTCCTGGAACAGTTTCAACAGGTATCATTTTTGCATTTACATACATATAAGCACTATTCTTTTATTTTCAAAAGACAGTTATTAGTAATTTGTAAAAAATAAAGTACGTTAAGCGAAAGAGTCAGTTGACACTGATTTCTCTTTCACTGTTGGTATCTCTGGTTCATTGCTTTGTGCAAACTTTTTTTGAAGTTTCATTGTTGTATTTCATATATATATATATATATGAAGTCCATCAACCATATTCCCTTACTTTCATTTCCTTCATTCCCCTTTTCCCCACAAATACCCCCCCTTACAGTCCTGTCTTCCTAAGTCAGTGTTCAAAGTGATTTCTCGATGTATTAAATTTGAGAATTTTGAATTCGTCTCTCTCCCAGGAGCTCTGTTCCATGTGACTATTGTTAGCAATGAGTTTGAAATATGCAAGGTCTTTTGAACAGTCTCAACAAATAGAGGCCAGGAGAAATAACAATCACATTTCTATACTTCTTTTCATTCAAGAGTTTCTTTGTAAATTAATTGAATAAACTCAATGAAAACATGATCTTACTTAAAAGCAATGCAGTCAATTAGTAATATGCATCTTTGGTTAGGTTATATATGTGCAATATTTTAAAATCCATGTAACTTATAATATTGTCACATGTTTGTTTTTACTTTTTCTAGATTTGGATGATCCAGTTGTAACTGTTCATCAAAGTATAGGTGAAGCTAAAGAACAATTTTACTATGAGAGAACTGTGTTCCTACGGTGTGTTGCCAATTCAAATCCACCTGTTCGGTACAGCTGGAGACGTGGTCAGGAGGTATTATTACAAGGATCTGATAAAGGAGTTGAAATTTATGAGCCCTTCTTTACCCAGGTGAGAGTTAAAGTAAAGTATTTGCACCTCACTGTACTAGGATACTTTCCTAATTCAAACAGTATGCAATGCTATAGCTATTTGGAAAGAAAGTTTCTCCCAATCTAGCCCTTTGGAAAATTATGTCTGTTCAGTGTGACCAGAAGATTGAGATATGAAAGACAATTTGTTCTATATGTGGTAGTTAAATTTATAATGCTAACATTTGAAAGGATTTTTAGCTTAATTTTACTTAACTTATATTCTTTGTCCATAGATTTACTCTACATTTCACTGTAAAGCACAGTTTTACATTTTACTGATTCAGGTTTTACAGAAAATATTTAAGAGGAGGCATTTTAATTTCTCAATTTTCAATGATGAATAACTTTTAAAGTAATGAAGAAATCTATTTGTAATTTATTTGGCATTGTTTCATGAAATATCTGTCTTTAATTTCTTGTTCATTTTTGCTTTTGAATTAGTTTAGACGTAGAGCCTTAACTGCTCTAAAAATGAAAATATCTAATGAGTTGTTGAAATTTATTCATTAAAAAGAAAAATGGAATTCCTTTTATGTAGAGTGATTATAACATGAGATGATCCTATATGATATTTTTGAGAGTACAGAATTAATTTTTTTTCCTTACCTATCCTCATATCTTCTGTGTGTGTTCTCCCTTTGTCATGTGATGCAAGTCCAACAACATTGCTGTATTTGCCCTAGATCTAAAGTCTGCATATGAGGGACAACATACGATTTTTGGTCTTCTGAGCTTAGCTAACAGAATTAATGCTTGAAAACCAATTTTTTGAATTTTTTTAGAGATATTTGAGAGCTATTGCAGTAGACTTTTTTTTTTGAGATACTGGGGCTTCAACTCAGGGCCTCACACTTGTTAGACAGGTGCTCTACCATTTGAGTCACTCCACAAGTGCAGCAGTGAAGATTTTTTGGTGACTAGAAAAATACAGAAACATAAATTAACAAAGGAAAGATTTCAAATTGAAAAATGTTACCTGTACCAATGTTCAAAACAATAATGACCAAGAATAAAATTGATGAAATTGTCCATGCTGCATGTTGCATATAGATTTGACACATCTGCATGTTATAGTGTATTAGTACACTTTAAGTATTATAAATGCTTGGCTTCAAAATTTTAATGATTGATACAGCTTTCTCACCTAAATTTTAATAAAATATTGTGCTGAATTTGTAAATTTCCCAGCATCACATTTTTTTCACCTTTGAAAATATTTTTTATGTAGTAAACTATGTCCTGACTTTCTCAGATGAGATATTAGCTGTGGAAGACTACAGTGAATATCTGGCAACATCTGTGCACATGATATATATTTCTATGTCTTGCCATGTATTGTAAATAAAAACATGTATTCTTTATTTTGTCAAAGGTGTAGAGCTTTGGCAAGTTAAGACTTGCCAAAATAGAAATCTCAGAATGTCACCATAGCACTTGTGTTAGTGGTGAGTCTATTAAAATCTTGTTTCTCCTTGACCCTCTCTTGGCTCAGACCATGGTGATGTCACCGGTTTCCTGCCAGCAGGCAACATTGAATTTTTTCCATATATATATGCCATATATTCTGCACCATGACAATTCATGCTTCAATTTTTACTAAAAAGATTTTTAGTTAAATGTTTCAAAGAAAAATTATCATTCGGATGGTCATCTAATTATTTATAAAATATTTTCCCCTACACTCTTTACAATCATAGGTAGTTCTAAGCATCTTGTCACTAGATGGTCATTTCCTATCTGCAGAGGGCATTCATTATTTTTCTGATAGAGTCTTATATTTCTTGCCTAGGGCTGGCCTTGGACTGCAATCCTCCTACCTCTGCTTCCTGAGTAGCTAAGATTACAGAAATACACCAGCATGCCAGTTTGCTCTTTAAGATAGGGTTTATCTAAATTTTTATGATTGTGCTGGCCTCAATCTAGGATCCTCGTATCCCCACCTCCCAATTAACTGGTATTATAGGTGTGAGTCATCACACCCAGCCTCAATTCTGAGTTCTTGATTATTCAATTGCTGTAAATAATTGCCAAAAACATGCAATTTCAGCTCATATTTAAAAATGTTTCTTCTTTCCCTTGATTTCTTACTTGTGCTGCTTATCTCTCTTTTCAAGTAGCTGTGCATTTGTCATAGATATCACGTTGGAACAAGAAATACTTTAATATTTTTATGTTCTATGTATATCTAATTTGTTAATATTAAATACAATGTGTAGGCCAAATTAATAGAAAAATTCAAACCTCAGTAAATGGCAAATTTGATTCTTATTACCATAAACCATTTTGGCCTTTTTTTTTTTTGATGGGACTGGATTTTGAACTCAGGACGTCACAAACTGGTGCTCTGCCACTTGAACTACACCTCCAGGCCATTTCTCTCTTGTTGTTTTTGGAGATCGGGGCCTTGCGAACTATTTGCCCAGACTAGCCTTGAACCATCTCAGTCTCCTAAGTAGCTAGGATTATAGGCATGAGCCATTGGCATCCGTCCATTTTGGTTTACACATTACATGGTCCTGATAGACACAAATCCAACCACATCACACAATTTCCATTATTTTTTATAGAATATTGCAATAGGTTCCTAAATGATCACCATGCTTTATTGTGGAAAACTCCATAAAACCAGAATGATAATTTAAAATGCACATCAGATCAAGTATTTGGTCCTGCTTTAACCTCCATTGCTTCCCAACATTTAATGCAAATCCAAGTATCATCTTGTAGCTGGTAACACCGTGCTGGATGTTGCCCTCTTCTATAGCATACTCTCTGTTCTAGCTGCCTTTTCCCTAGAGTCAAAGCTTCTCTGTGCATATTTTAGGTATGAGCGTGGTTGGTCCCTTCACATGATGGATTTTTACTTAAATTGCATGGCCGGAGTCTTCTTAACACTGACATCTCATCACCTCAGAAAAGCCTTCTTGTAGAATCCCTTCTCTGCCAGAGTTACTCTTTTCATCATCGACTAAAACTATCAAATCGTTTTATTTGTGTGTTTGAACATGAACTCACTATATAGAGAGACTTAGTCTGTCCTTTTAATAGCTCAAACAGTGCCCGATTCATAAAAGATTCTCAATAAATTATATCACATGTTGAACCAGTACTCCCATGGAGAAGTATGAATGACTAGCTTTAAAGAGTTAAACTGACTCCAATCTGTTGTTACTCTCAATTCACTCTCTGTATCTGTCCTTCTTCACTCCCAAGAAATGAAATGTGAATGAGACTGATGTTATAAATGAATCCATTATAGTGTACTTAATTTCCAAACTGTTGGTAGTTTTCTAGTTATAATTTTGAATTGATTTCTAGTTAAATTCACTGTGTCAGAGAGCATGTCTTGAATAACTTATGTCTTTAGAAATTGAGGGTTGTACAGAGTGTGGTGGTACACATCTGTAATCACAGAACTTGGGAATTGTTTCTTGCCTTGAGGTCTGCATTATCATTAGTTTACATAAGCATTCATTTTGGTAGTGCTTTTTGGGGAGTAGGATGGGGATAGGGATGGGGTAAACATGAGCCTCTGCTTTTACTTTCTAACTTCCCATGTCTTTGTATTTACAATATGTCACTCATAACCTCTAAATAGGTCTTGCTGTTTTAAATCTAATGGGATGAGTTATTTAGTGCACCTAATCCAAACACTGATACAGCTGTTTATTTTTCTGTATGATCCATCTGCTTTATTTTACTTCTCTCTTCTTTCCTTCTTCCATTCTTTCCTCTATTTAGCTGAGTTTTACATTATTGCAATACCATTTATTGATAACCTAAACATTAAGCTTGTATACTGGATTGTTATTTTGCCATTTCCTCCATAATAATAGCAGCTTAGAATTAACAATTTTACCTTTCATTTATTCTATTTTTGTCTCATATTTTAATTCTATATCTAATTTAATTTTATGAAATAATTATTTCATTCTTTGAAACAATTCTTTCCCTCTTGTATTTACCAAGATACTTACTATTTCTATTTCTATTTTTGACATGGTTTGGAGAATGCCTGACAGAAAACAATGTCTTCAGGGCTGGAGATGCAGCTCCGTGGCTGTTTGCCTAGTATCCATAAGGCTCTGGGTTTGATCCCCAGTACCCCCCTCCCGACATACACACACACACACAAAACCACAGAAAAACAAAATATACAAACTTTTGGGAGAGGGGAGGGTGAAGGAAGGAAATTAAGGTGATGGTATATGGTAGATGAACTTTGTATACCTATATGAAACAGAACTAAGAAACCTCTTGCAATTGCTTTAAGTGGGGAGGAGAGAAGGCTGAGGGGGAGAAACAATGGTGACAATGTAGATAATGCACAATATAAGTCTAATCAGAATTGTCTATGAATCTGCCCCCATATAATGAATATATCCTAACTTATTAAAAAAACTATGTAGCTTGGTACTACCTTCAGAACTTGGAAGTACTGTGCATAGGGTTTTCCAACAGTGGAAAGCCACACAATGAATGAACTCAGCTTCTTGTCTTTATTTTTACATGATAAAATATAAATTTTGTATACATACTAATTTGCAAATCTATCATATCTGGTTATTTTCCACTAACCAGTCATGTACTTAATTACAAAGAATTTTAATTATTATTTCTACATACCAAATTTGCTTTAGATTTTAAATTAGTTTATGTTGTATATTTAAAATATTTCCCAAGATTGATTTTTTTTGCCTTCATGTATGACTTTGCTATATGTAATAGGAACTGGTTTTAGTTTCACAGATTATGCTAGTTTTTATGTTCTTACATAGGTTATTCTTCAGTGTCATTGATTTCTTCAATTATTTTTCCTATCAATTGCCAAGAATACTTCAAGATTAAAAATCTTGCCATGTTGGTATTGTTTGTGTTAGATCATGTCTTAGTTTGTTTTCTGCTGCTATGACCACAAACTGGGTAATTAATAAAGAAAAGAAATACATTTCTTATAGTTCTGGAGGCTGGCAAGTC